AAACTCGGAGATTGGAGAGACGAAGCAGGTGGTCGAAGGTAAATCGAGGTGCTTCAGTGTTGTTGATGAAGTGGCAGAGGAGGATTATGATCCTCCAAAAGGACGGGTGAATCTTCCCAAGACAGACCTCGTACCTTTTGCAGAAGCCGAGGATTATAGGGTCCACCGGGGCGAGCGTGAAGGGGTAAGTGTAAACACTCAGTTACCCCTCCTCGTGAGTGGTAATATCCTCGTTGGGCCCGGGGACGACCACTTCCTTGCGCTCCCATCTGCAGTCCTGAATTGTAGGGAATGTGTCCTCAGTAACGGAGCATATGTACCTCCATACTCCTTCGCCTCGGTCTTGTTGACTGGAGGCCTTCTCGACTTTGAAGTCGTTCTCAATGGAGCAGCCCATGGGGATGAAGCTCTTCAAAGGAGGCTCCGAGCCACCTCAGGAACGGCCACCTCGACATCTATGGTCAAGTTGGAAGTTGAAGGGACGGTCTGTTAAGGCACAGATTTGGAAATTTTTGCCATCAGATTCTGAAAAATATGAAGGCTTGAAGGTAAGGATGAAGGTTGAAGATAAGGATAAAGATTTGAAGATGTGGATGAAGGTATGAATGTTTGATATGAAGATTTAAAGAAAGAGTATGAAGATTTGAAGATGAAGATATGAAGATATAGGAAACAATATATGAAGATTTGAAGGGGTTAGAATTAAGTGAAGAATTCGAAGGTAAATGAAGGAGCTCTAGAATCGGAAAGTTAAAAAAATGAAAAACGAGTCGGAGCTTTTATTGAGAAAAGGTAATCAATGCATGACGTTTCATATTCGAGGATGGTTAACCGGCGGCTAACACGTGTCCGAAGTCAGAACGATGTGACTGATGGGACGTTTTCCTTACCCGTCAAGTCGGTTGTAGCATACGGAAGAAGGAACCGAGGTTAAATTATCGCTTCCCATGGCATCAATAAATCTACTCTCCAGAAAACGAGGGGACTATCTGTGTATGGGTAAAATCGGGGGCAAAGTTTTTTTCGATTCCCAGATGATGGAACAAAGGGAAAGCACGACTCGACGTGATTATAATCGAGGCCCAGGAGCCCCTCGTATCGAAATCGAGGAGGAATGAATGATGTATCTGAGATTGAACACGGTGAAATGACATACCCGGACCAAGTATATCTTCTAGACCTCGGGGGACGCGGTGAACGGTTATGCATGACGAGTAGGGTCCGTAATATTCGCCCTCAATCGGATATAACGGCGCGAATCCCGTTCAGTATCAATTGTAGATCAACATTTACCGGAAAAATAAGGTTTTTACCTTATTTAGACTTGTACTAGGACTGAATTCCCCTACTATATAAATGAGAGGCTTTCTTCATTCTCACATTGTGACACGCAAATCAAAGCAATAAAAGTTTACTTTTGTCTTCTAGCTATTATTCAAGGCATTATTCATTTATTCTTTTCTTCACTCGCGATCGAGCTTGTACCGAGGATCCAATCGAGGACGAATTTCACTGTTCAATCTAAGATCAGGCATGGTCACTACATTGCGATTGGTTTGATCATTTATTCTGTCTTTAACTCATTTACCTGTTATTCTTAATTATTCGTATTGAATTAAACCACGTATCCTTTAACCCGCGTACAAATATAAATGTTACTCATTCCTGAGGTAAACAATATGAACTAAGGCGCAACATTATCTTTGATTTTGGTATTTCAATTCAGCCATATGAAATATTTAAATCCGAATGACGAATCTTGCATCTTTTTGTAATAAAATCGATCAGTTAAAATGCAAATCAAAGAATGTAATTATATGGTGGAATATGCAGAATGTGAATGTGTTAGGTCTGGATAATGCAGAAATCTGAGATTTATTTGATTACTATTTAATGTGTATTCTTTGATTTTGTATAGATTTTGTTATATTTCTGTACACTACATGAAATAATAAAATAATAACTCATATTTATTAAAATAATTTAATATATTAGATCATAATTTTATAAAATTAATATTCTGTCAAATTATCCGCGCATCGCGCGCGTTCGACTACTAGTTTATGAAAAATAACATAGGGGTTTCGTAGATAGTCATGCACATGTTATAAAAACTGATATATTTTGTTCCAAAATGTTGCACCTATAACCAAGTTTAATCTAAGTAAATATATACATAGATTTTACAAAAAGAAACAAGTGATTGGAAAACTTGAAATACAGAACATTTACAATTACTATAACTCATAACTCAGTGTAGATACATTGCCCTGTTTGTCAACGTTAATAATCCACGAAGAACTGTTGAATAGCCTGAGCATATTCTTAGCAGTCAGCAGTAACAGCCATTTATCGAAGTCAAACAGTTACAACGCCTCACATTTCCACCAACTGCAACAAAACAAGTTGGCCAGCAGTACTGGCATTTCATCATACTCAATTGAAACTAGTTTGGCAATCAAATTAACTGGTAGACAACAGAATCATGTTGCAAAGGACATTGTCCGTAAGCAATTATTTCGTACTCTTTTTAGATTGAACATGTTTTCCACCATGGATACCCTCAGTGGCAGCGCTAAAAGCTTATAGCTGTCATACAAGCTATATGGTTGGGGCGTAACTGATAGCAGAGGCAATATGGTACGGAGGTAAGATCAAAGTTAACATGCATATCAAGTAATGACATGAGCATTTGACTACAATGAAGTAGTCAAATTCAGACATAACAGACATTACAAGCAGATGCCAACCCCTTTTTCGCGAAATGTGGCTAATGCCTAGCCGTATAGGATTGGAGAAGTTTCCTTTTTTTTTAAAACCAAAATAGGAAGTAAAGATATAAAGACAAGATTAATAAGATGGAGAGCCTTACAAAAATACGGCAACATTGGTATCACAAATCAACACCCTCGTCAAGCCCTTTAGAACTAATTATCACATTTGAATCAATTTGTTTGTCGAACTTCTTTTTACGCCTGGTTTCAAATTCTTGAAATCCTTCCATCTGAAAGAAAAGTAGTCAGTGGAGATCTCCATTAGTGACTTTTTTCAGGATGCACGGAAGTGAGCACAATAGTAACTTACTTGTTGAAATTGGTCCATGGAAATTGGATTGCCATGTAGGGCTATGCTCTGCAAGCCCTTGCATTCTTTTAATAAATTTAGAGGCATCTGAGAGAATGAGAACCAACATATAAATAGCTAAAAGATGTCAGTAAAATAAGAACATAAGCTAGTAGAAGAGTAAATTCCAGGATGACAATGCCTTAAAGACAAGAAACTACTTAGAAGTTTAAGCAAACGACTTCAGATGAAGATTACTTTGCAAATAAATATATTTGGCACAACAACTATTTCATATCTCAAGTTAAACACACGAGGATGTTTCAATTACAGTATCCCTATGCAAAGCTGCTTCTTCATTAAAGAAAATGATTTTCCATGCTTGTCTTCTGGTTGATGAAGAGCTATATAACATACTTATATACAACTCTGCTAAATAGTTTTTTGTAAGGAAAAGAGAGAGAGAGAGAGAGAGAGAACACTACAAGCATCAAAAGAAAATTTCAGTCTATAACAAAGTAAATATCAATTTTACTCAAAAATATTACGTGATACAGAGAGTAAAAGCTTAGATCTACTTATGATTCCCATGCTTTTGCACATGTCCATTAGTACGCGCGTGTGTGTGAGAGAGAAAGAGAGAGACTAGAAAGGAGAATTTGAAAATTACCTGATTGAGATTATTATTGTTCAAACAGAGTGATTTTAGTTGAATGAGATTGCAAATTGAACCAGGAAGCTCTTCAATAGAGTTATCTGTGACAGAAGCAATCATAGGCTCAAGAGAAAGCAGTAAAAGTAATAACTGTGAATTTGAGAAAAAGGAGAAAAGTAGAAAACGATATCGTATATCAACTCAAAATGGTAACTACAATTGCTAGTCTTCTCACATGTAAGATGGGAAAGAATTTCTAATGTTCAATTGATATGCATACAGAGCTCCGACACCCAGGAAACCAAAGGAAAAAGAGAGACAGAAAAATCAGAAGGATTATGAGCTAAAGATAAAGGTACCATTTGCTTGCAGTTCTTCCAAAGAAAAGCAACTTCCAATTGATTCCGGAAGAAATTTTAACTTGTTGTTTGAAACATTTAACAAAACCAACTGCATTGCCAAAAGATATTATCAAACTCTAATGGTCAAAATTTTTCCGTGAATAGGAACTGAGAAGATGCCAATCTAAGCAGTACGACCTTCACACATAGACAGAGAAACAACATCATATAGAACTCGTAAGTAGCTGAGAATCTTTTAATAACAATATGTGCAATTATATAAACAGTTCTAGAGTCAATAGAACAATTGAACTTGATTCTTAGCCCCGAATTCATCATCCCAAAACAACAACCAGAAGAATTTGAATGATAAGTTACAACTACGAAGTTCACAAAGTAATTACTTTGTTTTAACAGTGAAAATGAGAAAGATAGTGGGAAACAAATTAAAATATTAAGTAAGATGTGTAACAAGTTAATAAATGTCACAATAAGGTGGCTTAATAGCATAACTTGAGAAATAAGTCAGGCTTTATTTCATAAGAGCATGCATTAACAGAAACATGCAGTTTAAACAAAATAGTCCTGGATATCAATTTACAGAACGTTCTCCAATCAAAGGCATTGGCAAGATCAAAACTTAAGTAATTTTTTTTCACCTAAACACGTTTACAGTAAAAATATTTAGCCAAACAATTAAAAAAAGTACTTAATATTATTGGCACATCAAATAGAACTGAGAAAGCAGGTAACATATAAAGTGTAATAAATCACTCACACTCCGCAAGCTCCCGATTGTGTCAGGCAAGCTTGTCAACAAGTTTGCTGAGATAGACAGACGCTCAAGTTTCACCAACTGTCCCACTGAACATAGTAATTTTATGTAGTTAGAACAGAGAGTGCAGACGAACAAAAAGACAAAAAGGAAACCACTTAACATGAGTGATCTAACATATCTGGACTTACATTCATCAGGCAAGTTTGTGATCCGATTCCCATCAAGTGTTGCCACTTTCAAAGACTGAAGCAACCCCAGATTCATGGGAAGGCGCTCAATAACGTTATCAGCTAAAATCTGAAAAGAGTTGGAGATAAGTTTTTTTGCTCTTAATTCAGATAATCAACTTAAGAAGTATGTTCATCATTAATAGGAATATGTTCAATTTTAAGAAACGAAATAAGAGAGGGAGAGCAGGATATTGTACTTACAAGTCGTTGTAAGTTATTTAGTTTGTTGATCTCCATGGGAATTTCAACTGTCACAACAGAAGAGTAAGAATTAGCTTCCAGGAATACAATCATTAGGAAAATAAGATAAAAAGTATATGAAAATAATCTTCTAGTAGCATTTGTTTTTATACTCTAAAGTGATAAGAAATATATAAATCATGAGCTCAAGAAACTAAAGAGCAGTACCCAGTTTATTGTGTGTTAAGTCGAGGGTACGTACAGATCTTTCCAGGTCAAAAACTTCATCAGGAAATGTCTGTTTACAGAAAAAGAAAGGATAGTCAGGAAACCAAAAATATTTGACCTTTTCAAATGGGCTAAATGAATTGCCTTATTTAACTGTTTTTTAGCATTTCATCACAGTAAGCATCATCCATCAAACGCTAATCAAACATACAATGGATTTAAAGTCCAAAAACGTATTTTCCAGAAATAGTTAAAGAAAGGTGATGCATTAAAAATAGCATGAGATAAACATTATGAATTGTGATGCAATAAGCTGTAATTGTAATCAGAAAAAATGAAAATAAAGCAATTAAGAAAAGAAGAGTCATGTAGAGATGTGTAATTAACTTTAATCAGATATAACAGAGAAAAATAATAAAGGGAGCAGCAACAAAAGGCGAGAGATAATGGGGTAAGGAAATGCCTTCAATTTAGAGTCGCGTAAAGCAACGATGCCAGTGGAACGCCATCGCGAAATTGTGCTAGCATCAGCTGCCTTGCTGCTGCGGCAACCCATTATCACTCGAATATTATATTTACGCACACAACGCTTTGAGAATTAGATTGAAATCATGGGTTAAATGATTGGAAAATTTTAGAATAAAAAGGTCTTCAACTGGTTCAGGGAACAGCGTTGAAGACCTTTTTGTTTGCCGGTCCCCGGAGGGACCCAAAGGCGTTGAAGTCGACGATTATATGAAACTCAGAGAAAAAGGGAATGGCGACGACTTTTGAATGGTTTGCTTTCGGTGTTATTGCTTGAGGTGGGGTCTTGGGTTCTATTACGATTTTGTCATACGAGTGGCGATATAAACTATTTTTTGTCAACTCAATTTTTCTTTTTTTCTTAATAGAGGTTGGCCTTGAATTGTGCAAATGAAAGGTTGAAGACAACTCGCGGTGGAATATTGAACAACAATAATAATTATACACATTTGAATCTTATACTCCCTCCGTTTAAAATTGGATGATGTACTTTCCTATTTAGTCTGTTCCAAAATAAATGACACATTTTTAAATTTGAAAATAACTCAACTTTAAACTCTTCATTTTACCCTTAATGAGAAGTTTTTATAAACACACAAATGTCACGACCCCACAAACCTTTTACCCCTTAAGCTTTTAAGACCACAAGTTTCAAAAGTCTTCTTTTTTTTCTTAAACTTCATGCATAGTCAAACTAGTTCATCTAAATTAAAACGGAGGGAAAAGCAAACAGTTTCGACTACACGTGTACCCGAGAACGAGAAGATTACAGAGAAAAAAGCAGAAAAACGGACAAGCTAAAGCAGAATGAAATACAGTGCTAAAGAAAGGCATTGTATAAATGTGATCTACCATGACAAATAACAATCTANCATTGTATAAATGTGATTTACCATGACAAATAACAATCTACTCACAACCGACTACAACATAACTAACCTACAACCGAAGCTCATAACCAAGCATAACAAGGTCATATTTAGAAGTTTATTGAAAATTTTGTCATGGTTTGCCTATAAAAAGAGGCATCAATCGTGAAATCAAGGGGGCAGAGAAAGAAAGCTTAGAAGTTAGAAGTGTACTATCGAAATCAAATTTTAAGCATACCGCTATTTCCTTTCTCTTTCTTCTTTAGTTTCTCTTCTTTTTCATCTTTTAGCCATTATATTGGCTTCGTCTCTAGTTTCGAATAAAATAGTGTCACAAATTACTCTAATTCCTATTTTTAATTAAATAAAAAAAAATATTCTTCTTGAATATTTCTTTGTATTCTCTTATTTAATGGGCAAGAATATTTTNTATCAGAAATATTATCATTATCCTGAACAATATTTGTCTTAGGGTTAATCTTAACCCTTTCAACTGGCTTATCACCTACTTTAGCAGAAATTGTGTGTAAAGATGCAGTACGATTTCTAGCTGGTCCATAGACTGGTTCAACAGGAGAAATGTGTTGAATATCAGGCAATAGTCTACGACTAGTAAATGAATGTCTATTATAATTAGAACTAATAGTAGGCAACAGTCTATTATTAGAAAATGACTGTCTACTATAAGTGGAACTATTATCGTCAAACTGAATGCAAATCCTACCATCCGGATTTTGAGTAATATGAGAATACTCAGTATTATAATCNTTACTAAAAAGAGCATGTTTCAGTTCAAGCCTTTATTTCTGGTTCTTTAATATTACTATTTTGATAATTAATTTGTATAACGGAAAGGAGTGCAACTAATTGTTCAACTTAAGTAATAATATATAAGTGTAATCGTGAGAGACATTTATACATTTGAGAGAAATAAAAATTAAAGAATAAACNTGCTTAATATTTTTGACCAAAGTAGTGTGACTATCAGTCCAAGGATTTTTATAATTCTTTTTTATCCTATCATATAAGGGGGTTAAATCACGTGATAGATCTTTATAAAAAGGCAAAATATAATTTAAACTTCCCAAAAATCTTTATAACTAAGTTCTATCAGTAATAACATCGGGAAATTTTGAGGCAAAATCAATCGATCTTTGAATATGAGTAATCTTTCCTTGACAAATATAATGTCTNTCAGTATCCCAACATCTTTTTATATTTGTGAAACAAAAAAAAATATTTTTCCATTGCTTTATTTACGCATTTTTATTTAGTTAACTCACAACTCAACTCTTTCTGATTATTATAAATAGTAATTAAAACAAAAAATATATATAGAATAAATTAACCAATTTCTATGCGTTGGACATCTTGGTATATTATTATTCGATAGAGTACGGTCACTTATCAGTACATTTTGATAAAAAATGTATTTATCAATTTCGGCTGTAAGTGCTTTTGAGCTATTTTTAACCAGCTAATAATCCAAAAGGGCTCTTAATTAGCTTCGTAGGCAACTTTCCCAAATTTACCTCCCTA